GGTTGACTCAGCCTTGCATTCTTCATAGATAGGTAAAACGAGGACCCAAATTGTTTGGACTAATGTGCTGACATTGTAAACAGCTCAGAGAGTAGTGTAAAGGACTATGGAGCAGTCTAAGTGCTATTGCTAAAGGACATATAAATTAAAATGTGCATTTAAGTTTTAACTACCAAGCATGAAAAAACAGGAGTACATGTTAAGTTTCAATTAAGAAGGTCTATTGTTCAAGTCTATACAAAGAATCTAGTCAACTAACTGACAGCACTAAATTGGCACTAGATAAGAATCAGTGAGATTGGGGGGAAGTGGACTTCGATCGCTTGTGGGAACATAATATCTCCAGACTGATTCCACTCTTGACTCCACTCTCAGGCTCTGCTTCCCATCGCATACGTTAATATGTGGAACATACATATTAAAATAAAAGTATAAGAAAATAAGGAAGCCAAATAAATTTGATATTTTATTCATAAGAAGTACTATTTTCTTTGATTTAATTTAACAAAAATATTATTGTTCCACTAGCTATTTGCAGTAAACATTGCTTAGCCTTTTTTGCTACTCTTTGTTTTTTGCCTTATTTGAATTGGACAAGTATCAATCATTTTAGTAACCAGTAATCTAAATGTCAGCCTTGGAAGCCATATTTTACTTAGAAGCTACACGGCTGCCACAATTAGTGCCTAGGAATTTGGGAGGGGGGATTTCATAGAGAGCTGGAAGATTAGACTCAACAACATTCTTCTCATAAGTCAAGGACAAGTCACCCTGCACCTGGAGAGAAGTGTCTAAGAAATGACTCCAGTTGGAATGATGGTTGATTGGACCATGTGATGGACTGGAGGGTGCAGGGGATTTTTGAATTTCAATGGGGAAGGGAAAACCCGGAACTCTCAGATTTGGGTTTTCCCAGATGTACCAATGTGACTTCTTTAATAAATTTCTTTCTTGATAAACTTCGTTTCTGAGTGCTGCATGAAATGGGGAGTTTCACTGGAACACTGACACTAAGATTTTATAAATTCTGGATTCAACCTAGAGTCCTATCATAGAACCAAACTAAATATCACACTTAATAGAATTTGCATTTTTTAAAGAGTAGGACAATTTCTTTATCTCCATAGTCGTTCTGTTACCCAAGTTGTTTAGTCTACTTAATGTTCCTACCCTAGATATATTACGCCAATACCAGTAAGTAGCGAAAGTAGTACATTTACTTGGACTGGGTAGCTGCTTTATTTCACCAATTATCAGGTGGAAGTGTCTTTTTTGCAGGCATAGACATAGATCAGATTAAAAGGGAGATTTTGTTGAAGGATCTGCACAGATCTAATATTTGTCATCCATAATATTCACATGAATTTTAATGCCTAAAGTAAGCAGCACATGGGAAAAGCAATTATTCATTCCATATTGTAAATAGCATTGATTGTCAATTTCTTACATATTTTTAAAGAAACCATTCTTTAGAGTGATTAATACATTAATAATATATTTCTCCCTTTGCTATTCACAGGCGAGAGAAATCTAAAAATATAAACCTACTGTTTTGTTGAATGTATTTTTGAATGTTATGTTGTTATAAATCTTGCTTGTTTCCTATGAAATGATTTTTTCCTCAACGTTTGTTAAAGATTTTTTAAAAATAAACCCTGTGAAAAAATTGTGATGTCACCCAACTAACTGTTGAGGAACTTTCTGATAATAGGGCTGGGTTTTCAAAAGAGAGAATATTCTATTCTCTCAAAAAAGAGAAGAGAAAAATATCTCCCTATTCTATTGCAGAATAGGAAAATGACATGGTAGCCTTTATTAAAACATACTCTTTAAAGGTATATGAGTGTAATTCATTCTTGCTAACAGCAGCAGTTGAGTTTGTACCACTCGAAGCCAATCACGGCCAACATTTTGTACATTATTCTCCAAATATTTATTGTTCCACAGATGGCACTGGACACATTTTTCTCTTTTTTTTTTTAATTGCCTGATGTCTTATGATTGTAGCCGTACTGGAGTTCTGCACATTTCATTGAAGAGACACAGTAAGCTTCATTGTGGAGCTGGCTAGTTTAATCTATTGGGTAAGGAACCAAGGAACTAAAAGATGGCTGTGAATGCAAATGTATATATTCCAGTTTCTAATTGACTTAGAAACTGTAACATCAGAGATAGATTAATGGCTATAGTCACCACTAACATCTATATTTACTGCACACATGTATTTAAGAAATTTCTGAACCATACAATGTAACTAGGGCAAATAAAAGCAGTTGAAAGTATTTTTTTTTCCTTCAAAAGTTTCTAAGCTGATTAAGCTACACAACCTCCTTGTACTACCTGATAATTGAAGCAACATAAATCAAGGTAAATTATTTTAACAGTAAGAAGTTCATGATCCCAGAAATCGCAGAACTAGACCATTTTTTAATCAGGCACTCTAAATGAGGAGATGGAGCAGGTTCAGTATCAGATAACTAGAGGTGCTGAGATTTATTTCCTTTCCATTTCGCCAGTAATTTTAGAAGGAAAACCACTGATAACATGTTTATCCCTTGAAAAATTTGAATGAAATCTGAGCGCAAAATAATTTCCTTCTGGATCAGTTTTTGTTTAAAGAACCTCAGTGTGTGTATCTCTCAATATTTAAAAGGATAACTGTTATGAAAATGACACAGCATAACCTTGTTTAAGAAAAGCATTTTAGAGAGCAGCAGAAGCTTTTAAGATAAAATATATTTTAAACTTGTGTGGGGTACATAGAGAAATGTTTTTTTTCCCTTCTGATCTGTTTTCGAGTAGGAAAGAAAGGTCATATGAAAATGGCATACATCATAGGCATAACCCAAGTTAAAAAGAAAAACTGCAATAACAGAAGCAGATTCTAGGAAATTTTAAACAAGACTCAAATCCAGAGGGAGATGAGCATGCTGGTGGGTAATAGATACAAAAGAACAAATGGTGACAAAGGAAGGGCTATATTTTCAGACCATGAAATGTTATTTTCTTTAAAGTTTAATTTTTCTGCTTCTGGACAAAAGAAGTGGGGAGACAAAATACTAGCACTGTTTTGTAGTATTTTGACATCCTTCCCTGAAAGACTGCAATTAGAGGCACCTGGAACTATCATTCACTGTGTGTACAAACTTGAAGTATTAGTCACAAAACGACACATTCCTTTCCCCCATTTTAAAGTTTTCAAAATGCAGAGCTAGAATGTAATAATGATACAATAATGAAGAACTACTTGGTAGGGAGCACCATGCCTATCTGAACCATGGTTGCACGGTAGTTAGATTGGAGTATTACAGACTAACTCACTGCTCACTCCAGAAATTTGATTCTGAGTGGCTCAAGGTTGATTCAACCTTCCATCTTTCCGAGGTTGGTAAAATGAGGACCCAGATTGTCAGTGGCAATATCTGTAAACTGCTTAGAAAGGACTGTAAAACACTATGAAGTGTCTATACATCTAAGTCCTATTGCTATTGCTATCTATGACTGCTTCTATCTGACCAGATATCTTTCTAGGTTGCCTCATTTTGTACTATTATTTGTTGTATTCATCCTGTGTTTGAGTTTTAGCATAAATTTTCCTCATTGCCACTGTTATTCATACTATAGTTACTACAACAATGTATTTTATGTAATGTTATTGCATGTTTTAACACTTTTTAAAAATACTTACAACCTATGTTTTTTATTATTGTGCTTTCTGGTACAAAAGCCATAGCAAAGGGTTTATTTGATTTGACATAATAATAGAGAACAAATATTTGCACAAGTGGCTCCGCAAACAGCTTCCAGGCAAAGACGTTTACTAGCTTCTTCAAGGTCATGAAAATGAGGACCATCCTTTATTCAGGGGCCCTTTCTTAATACATTAATGATTGTTTGGAACACTTAACATCACACTATCAGTCTGATTTAGTTGGACAGAACCTTACCAGGATTAAGGTAAACAGGATAGGGCATAAACAAAATAGACATCACTATATTGAATGTTGTGCTGTTAGATTTCTGCTGGCTTAGAAACTGATGTGTAGTATTTTAATTCAGCTATGAAGAAGAGCTTTGGATTATGGTTTTGTTTTAATTAAGAATTAATTTATTCTGATGGATTGTTTTTCCTCTCTTTATGTGCTACGCCCACCAAGCCATGCCCACAGAATGGTAGTAAAAAAAAATTGAATCCCACCACTGCTAAGGAGCCTAAACAAGCCGAGCAGTATAGTTTGTTGCATATTTTAAATATCTTGTGCATGATCAATCATTGTAGCAAAAACAGTCACATCAACTGATTTGCTTTAAGAGTGAAATGATCCTTCTTATATATCTGCATTCCAAACATTTTTTTAAATGAAGCAAAATTTTGTTTTTTTTAAAAAATGCAACCTTTTTTCTTGAAGAATAAATACCATAAACATAGGGGAAAATTGCAGTCTAAATATATGAAGAAATTGGGGAATAGTCACTTATATAAAGGTCAACAAATTTGAAGACAGTGATAGTGCCAATTTATTACTATTTAAAGTATTATATTTAAAGTTCCTTTTATTTCTTTTATGTTTTAATATTTTTATGTTTTACATTGATCTTGTTTTATAGAAGATAAATCCTTCTGCATTTAATGTATATATACGCTATTTCCAAAAAGAAAAAAAATGTCAGGCAGGTTATCTAACAAGGTTGTAGAATGATTTATTCTTAGGCTTATAGCGGGGGACTTCAAACTTGACAGCTTTAAGACATGTGGACTTCAATTCCCAGAATTCCTCCTCCAGTCATATTAGCTCAGGAATTCTAGGAGTTGAAGTCCACAAGTCTTAAACTTGCCAAGTTTGAAGACCTTTGGCTTATAGCTAGGTAAATTCCAAAAGATAAAAAGTGTTTTTGTTGCATTCACAAACATTATTTTTGCAAGATCCTAGTACCGGTGAAGCTTTTGTGCTAGACAAACTGTTATAAATTCATTTCTGTTGTTTGTTTTTACCTTTTAGAACTCGGAAAGATTGATCAAGACATCCAAAAATATAACACACCAGGATTTTCTGGTTGCTTGTCACGTGTGCAGTTCAACCAGATTACACCACTCAAGGCAGCCTTGAGACAGACCAATATATCCTCTCACATTTACACAGAAGGAGAACTTATAGAATCCAATTGCGGAGCAAATCCACAAACCATCCAACCAATGTCTTCTGCAACAGACCCTTGGCATCCAGATTCAGGTACAATGGGAATGAAATGATAGCAGAAACATTCAGTATTTTTAAGATCCAAGACTGCTTACAAAAGTATAGAGTTTCTTTCCCTCTTTTTTATAAGTTTCCACCATTTTCTATCTCTCTTTCTCTCTCGTAAATACACACTGAATTTTTGTAACTATCACATATATACTTTCATAGCTATTGCTTTTATTTTTCAGAATCTTTTGAGTCCTAAGCAGTAAAACTTTTAACCACTGCCCCTGATAAACATTTTATTTTTTTCAGTTTTGTCAAAGGGATGAATGGAACTGGCAAAAGAACTGATAGATATATAGGATGGGCATGTGTAAAATTCTAACAAATATATAGGTTTCCATTTTCATTTCCAGTGAAACCCATTATTGAAATTGGAGTCAAACTAGATATTATATCAGCATTTTAGAATTCATATGCCTTTATTTTATTAGTGACATGAAGAATAGGAGGGTGTTTTGTATCATTACTAATGAAATATTTTAGAATTGTTTCCATGCGCAGTACTGCTTTGATTCAGAAAATATCTCTGTTTTCTTGACAGTTAGGGATAGAAACAGATATTTGAAGAATTAACATTAATCCAAACTATAAAAGGCTGATTCTATGTCCACATTGTTACTTTGCTGAAATGATCATTAATTTCCCAAAATATTATCTTCTGTGTTGTTACTCATTTCAGTACTGGTAATTTTACTCTGTTATATGATAACTTTTCATACTAACGGTAGACTAAATAAGACTCCTGAAAAATCTCTTCACCTCATTTTCCTTTAAATTTAATTATTTTACAAGTTTATCTAGAAGTTATTTGACCCTGCCATAGCATTGAAATAACAGTAGGAAGAAGATCTAGAAGTTTTTTCTTGCAGTCTTTTTATTGCAAAAACTGAGATCAAGGCTGATAACAGTCGCTTCTAAAATATTTGCATTATTTAGTGTACATCTTAGAGATAAGTTAATATCCATATATTTTCACATCAACAATTCTATAATTATTCATTGACTATTTAATCATTCAAAAAATGCTGGTATGGCCCCAAACTTTATAAATCTACAATTGGAAAAAACAATGTTTTTCCATCCTTTAGCTTCTATTTTATTGTAAAGATACAGTATAAAGATCTGCTGGATATACTACTTCAGGAAAATAAAAAGAAGAAAAAGAAAGATTGTTAATTATTAAGGAAACAAAATGATCTAATAAATTCCAAATAAATTGCAGGTAGTTTACAACTTAGAACAGTTTATTTACAGTGGCCCATATAGCCTGTAAAGCGCTTCCAGGCAACATAAAATCTTCTGCCACCTCTGCCTTAAAGTCACATGAAGTCACATTTCAGGTACCAGGCCACCAACTCACATTAATGACTGATTGCAGCATGCCATGGTTACATAAATGCTATATGCAACCTTTTTGCCAGGTTTTTTTTTTTTTTGCATTTTTTGCCATGGTGGGGATGCAATTTGTAATGACCATGCCAAAATGGCTGTAAATGTCTTGATTTATAACTGTTATAACTTACAACTGAAATCCCAGTCCCAATTGTAACTGTTAATTTATTTTTTTGACTTGCATATTTTCTCATTTAAATGATGAAATGTTCATTACTAAAGAGCAATCTGTTATAATTCCTAAAATATATTTCCTTTCATCTATTTGTATTCAACTTCTCTTTATGGTTTGTATCTTCCTTCATATATTCTTTTGTAAAATCTTTCTCTTGGATACTTGTTGAGGTATTCCCCGTTAGGAGAATGAGTGCTTTCAGGGAAGCATAGTGAGAGTGATGTTGAATAACACACACAAAGCACACAGCTACACTGTATAGTAAAATGTAGGTCTTGCTTCCAGTAAACAGTTAAGCAAAGTCCAACAAACAGTCCAAGTCATACACGGTTATAGCAGTCAGTTTTCAGTCCAGGGATAATCCAATAACAAAGTCCAGGATCAAAAACAGTTCAGTAATAGACTCACATCAAGCCAAGAATAACGATGATCAGCAACAGTCAATAGGAAAAACGCAGGAACCAAGAACATTGAACAATGAACATCTAGCAACTAGCAACTCACAACAACAGAACTAACAACCCAGGTTTCTGGCTCTATCTAATGGCCGTTTGAGGAACCACACCCAATTACAGTTTTAGCATTCCTTAAAGAGACAATATGAAATGTCTATCCTGGTTTATATATTTCCAACCCAACTGTTAGGTGACTATCAATTCCTAACATTCTCCCCTTTGGATAGGACAATATATAAAACCTTACAGTTAACATCATAGTTGGATTCCTGTTCCAGTTTATTCCACCCAATGTGCTCAAGAAATTTAGCACTAGCGCTGCAGTAAATATTAACTGTGCCTTGATCCCAAAATCTAAATGAGCTATGGTTGGCTTCGTAACCTACAAAAAATAATTTCCTAGCTCTATGTTACTCTTTCAGTCTTATTTGTGAGGGAATATGCACCCATGCTGGAGCTCCAAATGTGTGTAGATAACTTAAATTTGGTTTTCTGCCATACCAAGGAGCGAATAGCAATTCACCAGTTGTTGTGTTTAAAACATGGCTGCTACACATTAGGGCTTCACCCCGCAGTGTTTCAGGAAAACGCTGAATCAGATAACATAGTGCGAGCCATGGTTTGTAACATTTGCCCTTTTCATTCTATAAATGAGTTATCTTGTGGCCTGTAAGGTGCAGAACGTTTATGCTCAACACCAGCCAATTTCAACATAGTTTGGAATCTCTTGTTAATAAACTCAGTCCCGTTATCAGTAACTAAAGTCATTACCCTAGGTTTCATTTTTCTCTTTGCAAACCTTAGCCAATTAAAGAAATTTTGGAATGTTTCTGTTTTGTTTTTCATTAAATAGCAGAAACCATACCACGAGTAATGGTCCATTATACTCAAAACATAGCAGGCACTTCCCAAACTGGGTTTCTTAGGACCAATTATGTCAGCAAACACAACCTCTAAAGGTTCTTTGGTCTTAAACCCATTCAGTCTGTTTGCTGGAGTAACCTTGCTTTTCTCCTGGTTACAGGCATTACAGTTTAAATACTTGCTACAGGGTTTTAATTTTACTCCCTCTGACAATTTGACGGTTTGTTTCAACATTTTGAAATTAATGTGCCCCAGATGTCTATGCAGTAAATGTATACATTTGTCATGTGGCCTAACATTATTATAAACTGAGTTAGCCATCTTCAACTGGTCATCATGTATAACATATAAATCATACTCTAAAGTAACAGTAACACTTATACCCTCCTTCTCTATTATACAGTTATCTCCCCTAAAGTTTACTACATAGCCAATATTAACTAAAACCCTTACTGATAACAAATTGAATTTCAGTTTAGGTACATATAACATAGTTAAATGCTCATTTACACATGAACAATATGCAGTACCTTCACCAGATGCTTTCATCTTCCATCCATTTGCCAAAGATACATGTTGCTTACTTGTGGACATCATTACAAACCTCTCTCTATTTTTAGTAATGGACTGCGATGCTCCACTATCAACTATCCACAAATCATGGTTTACAGTTGAATTGCTAGACATAGCTAAATTAACATTCTTCTTAGCCTTCTGGTGATTACCAGTATTCTGTCATTTTCCCTTCTTACAGAATCTAGCTATATGTCCCTTAGCCCCACAAGAAAAACATTTCCTAACAATATAAGCAGTTGAACACAAATCCTCTTCTTGTAGTTGTTTCTTCCTCAGTTGGTCCCTGTCCAACCGTCTTCTTGCCTCTTCTAACAACCTTCTGGTTATTTCAGTCAATGTCAGTTTATCTCTGGACAGGACTTCCAGTGAAGATACGTAATCATCATAACTTTCGTCCAATGAGGAAAGAATGATGTAAACTTGAAGCAGCTCTGAAAATATCAGTTCCTTTTCATGTAGCTCTTGAAAAGTTCTTTTCAAGAAGTTTGAATGAGCTAACATATCTCCACCTTTCAGAAGACGTGTTCTAAACAGTTTACATGTAAGATGTATGTGTGCACCTACACTATCATGAACATAAATTCTCTTCAAATTCTCCCAACACCTAATAGCAGACTCTTCTCCACGAATATGGACTAGCTGCTAGATACTCAGTGTTAGTTCAATTATACAAAGAGCTCGTTCGTTGTTTCGTTAAATGTCAGCAAGCTTCGTCCTCATTATCTGGATCCCAAGCATTTACATCTGGTGGATCTTGAACTGCAGCCCATAACCCTTCTCTACGCAGAAGTAGATTGTACTTCATAGACCAGGAAACATGAGTTGTTCCATCCAACTGGGCTATCAGTGATAGACTTGTTGACGGGTCTTGTGCCATCTTCACCAGGATAGAAATCTGCAATTAAACAGTAAACAGATGTCTGTATATGTACTGTGTATTCACACTAACTCTCAGTTATTTGAGCCTGGTATGGCCTGGGCCATAACCAGTGTTGAGGTATTCCCTGTTAGGAGAATGAGTGCTCTCAGGGAAGCGTAGTGAGAGTGATGTTGAATAACACACACAAAGCACACAGCTACACTGTATAGTAAAATGTAGGTCTTGCTTCCAGTAAACAGTTAAGCAAAGTCCAACAAACAGTCCAAGTCATACACGGTTATAGCAGTCAGTTTTCAGTCTAGGGATAATCCAATAATAAAGTCCAGGATCAAAAACAGTTCAGGAATAGACTCACATCAAGCCAAGAATAACGATGATCAGCAACAGTCAATAGGAAAAACGCAGGAACCAAGAACATCGAACAATGAACATCTAGCAACTAGCAACTCACAACAACAGAACTAACAACCCAAGTTTCTGGCTCCATCTTATGGCCGTTTGAGGAACCACACCCAATTACACTTTTAGCATCCCCTTAAAGAGACAGTATTAAATGTCTATCCTGGTTTATATATTTCCAATCCAACTAACTATCTAATTGTGACTATCAATTCCTAACAATACTATCAAATTCTTTTTCCCT